AAGTTTATACTACAACAGCCACCATAACACTACTATAAAGAGCCATTTCTTGAGTTATACACATTTCCTACTTTGACCCGTGACCTTACAACTTCATCACATAAAACACTTCTGCTGCCAATGACCATCAATTAATTAATAACATGAAGAACATTAAGAGCTGTGTGTTAAAAGCGAGTAACAGAAAGTATCCCTAATGCCACTACCTCATCATACAAAGTCGCCCTGACCATCACACAGTGTATACCATGTCTGAAGTATATACTTAGTAAAACTTTGGGTGAGGTAATAATGAATACTGTAATAACATGTTATGTTATAAATAAATTGGTGAAAGTTAGGATTTCTGTGGTATTTATCATAGCATCCACCCCCAAATTTTTATAAGGTCATAACCGAGACAAAGGACGGGTACCTCAGCTTGTAGCTAATATAAAGAAGAGAGTTCTCTGCAAAATAGACTACATTAAAGAAAATAACTCCAGCTTACAGGCATGATTTTGTTAGTTTTAAAAGGTTGTAAATAAAACAATTACTGACACCATGAACTTCAAAAAGTTTAGTTTTCAAACTATTTGAGCTAGAAATAAGCAACAAACATCTACAGAGAAAACAGATTTGCAGCTATGTTTTTGAATGCCGACAAATATTATTTATGCTGAATAGTTGAATATTTTTATTCTCCAAATAAATATATTGTACAAACAACATGGGAAAATCTGATTCTTCAAGCTGTTCTTACACACCCACCTTTCAGTAGAGTAAAAATTAAAACTCGTTATATATGGTGGTTGATTGGTAAATACAATAAAATGTCGGATTCCACAGTTTACACCTACTGAATTGGTTATTTGGTACACATCAGTTTGCAGTCTATGGTGTACTGGTGAATTAGTACTTCAGCAAGTAATTATTATTTTTTATTTCATTACATTTGTCATTGTTCTAGAGGGATTGGAATGGGGGAGGTATATTTAAGATGTGTTTCACCTGAGGTAATAAAACACTTCAAACAAACATAAAAAATGTCTGTGCTTGACTGAGTGCAAACTTTGTCCCACTGATAAAAATATATATATTTAATCTATTCCAACTGAAATAGAGTAATTGAAAATAATTGAATATACCTTGTATTTCATTTTCCCACAAAGAAATTTCAATAAAAAACTTAAATATTTATATAGCTAATCAGAGTGAGATATGGTGACATGTAAAATTCAACACAACAATGATTACTGAAAAACAACTGCAAAATATCTTTCTAATTTTCAGGAAATACTTTTCATTTTGTAATTTAGACAATAATACAGAGAGATTTCTTTAATATGAGCAAAAACTTGTAATAATATCAAAAAGAGTTAAAATAGTTTTATTTTGCACAAAAACACAATTACTTCTTCATTGAGACTAATTTTAAAATAGGTTATTTCATCATTATTTTAAGTGGTGTACTACTCTGACCAAATACAATGTAAATAATATTAAGCTTGGAAGATTAATTATATAACAGTAGATCACCAAATGGCAAATTTTTGCTTTAGTAAAGTTATCTGAATGATTAAAATAAGGAAAAATTTTATTTAAAATAAAGTGTTCATTTCAATAGCCATTTCCGACATAAACACACACAGCAACCACTCTGATCGATTGCCATGGCCTTTAGATTCAGCAAGCAAAACACCTACCAAACATTATCATAACTATTAAAAGAATCCAAGTTGTAATGTCAACAACTAGGAATGAGAAGTTGCATACTGAAATACAATTATGTATTATTAAAACATTATCCAATTTTTAACTGTGAATATTCCAACATAGCTCAACTAAAATTAATGAAACACACTGACCAATACGGTACGTTTGATTAAAAATAACTATTCAGCTAATACTAATTCTAAATAAATAAAACAAATATAGTATTATTTGGTAAATTAACTATACTTTCCAGCTTTAAAAAGACATGCTGCAAATAATGTAAGTAACAAACATTTTAAAACAAATGAACACACATAATGGTTGGAGACGGCTTAAATGGGTAATGAAGAAAAACTTTAATATAAGTTTAACATAACAGCAAATGTACAACGTTTCGACAAGGTTTTGTCATAATCGAAAATGAACACACAGTTAACCTAAAAATTAAAATCTGGTTCTATACATAAAATCAAATTAATTCTTAACATTTAACTATGTTAACTGATTGGACAAATAAATAAAATCATGGAAAATAAATGTTGAGCTAACTGTTTTACACTCTAAGAATCCGAATTCTGGACTAAACCTAAACTTAAAAGACAAAAAAAAAAAAAAAGAATTGAATTTTAATTTAAAATAAATTGTACTGCTATTACTTCAGCCTCGTAAAACACACTACAGTCTGTTAGTACTAATACTACTAGTGTTAGTGTTAGGCTAAAACCTTTAGTAATATTAATAGTACAAAAATGTTCAAGATATGGTCTAAAATTTTCTGAAGTTTTCTAAAATAATGTCTTAATTTAAAAAATACAGAAATGGTGAATGAATTAAGACTAAAGTAATATTCTTACAATTAAGCCTGTCTTTGTTGCTTTCTAATGACGAAGTCGTCAGCCTTCAATTTACTGCACTTTGCAAAGCATATATATATATACATGTATCTATGCTACAGCGCGACTCCCTCTATATATCTCTATGGATCTGTTCATGACTTTTTAAAATTCTAGGACTATGCATTAAAATCCTGCGAAAATAGTAGAAGTTCAACAAGTAATCCTGAAATAAGGCCTGAATCATGTTTCATTCAAAATATTTCTTTGTAACTTTCTCTTTTTCACTCCTAGTAAAGAAATTTGTATAATTTTTATCTTAAAAACTGATGAAAATAAAACAGTATCATAATTCAAGTTAGCTAATTTTAGTCCTGGTTGCAAGTTTGATCATATATGTAGGAAACATAAATTTATTTTGCATTTTAAGAAACTGGGTTTCATTAAAACGTGTTTCTTCATGAATGAAAAGTAATGCAAAATATTCTCTAGCTTTATGGAATTACAAAACTGCATGCATAAAAAAAAATCCTTTTACGCAAATACATCTGTTACGTATCTGCTTGTTTGTTAATTTTCGGTATAAATTATTTCTCAGGAAATTCATCGATACAAGTCCCTTCTTGATTAAAACAAGTTTATTCTTTCTCGATATAACTTTGTAATACACAGTAATTTCACAATCAATAGGTTTCTCGTCTCTTTACTTACAACTTTTATGATACACGCTATAAATCACAGCGATTCACAAGCTCGATAATTTCGCGACGACTGCAAAACAAACACAATTTACAGTTCAACGTCACTACCGTTCGGTTGACTCAATTATCTATTTATATATATATTGCTGGCCTCTCTGCCAGGATTATATACTAAGAAAGAAGGCATCTCGAACACACTAGGGTTGCCGGGCAAAATTCATGATCCTTCGAGAAACTCCAGCGCGCATGCTCCCAGGGTCACGTGACTTCC